CGTTCCCCCTCTACAGCTAAGATAGTGAACAACAGCTCGACCTGGAGCTGGGCTGCTGTGAGTCTCCGGTGATGGCGTAGGCTGCAGTGGGGCTGGCCAGCAGCTGACCTGCGCTTTCATGAGCTGCCGTGAGCCACCATGAGCCACCGTGAGCAGCCGTCCAATAGCCAGCAAGTGACTGTCTTACCCAGGAAGAGCGCAATGATAATACCAACATGGGCCAGTGAAGCGGCGTCCTCCACAGCTAGACTGAAGAACAAAAAAAAGGACAGCAACTTGTCTGTTCCCCTCCCCCAATTCCCCAATTAAAATCTTAAAAAAAAAATCAGTACTTTTATTTTGCACTTTAAATACATGTAGCATGATTCTCTATGCCATATATATGTAGATTTCAGTTTGATTGAAATGTCATTCTTTTACCTAAAAAAATAAAATAAAATAAAATAAAATAAAATAAAAATCCAGGTCTACTTTTCTTTTTAAAAAAAGATTTTAAAAGAATCTGCATGACCCCTTGCCAATGAATAGAAATAGGGCAATCTTTCATATCATGTTCAATCGCATGAGGATAAGATGGAGTCAGAAGTGGTTGTCACATAAATAGAATTTATACCAACGGAGTTCTAAGCTTACTTCAATTGTTGAAAATTAATTCATTTTCAGACCTCAGAATCTGATTTTCAGAGTACAAGAAGCTTGATGGAAAAAGCAATTGAATGTAATCAACCTCTCTTTATGTGCTTGGTTTAAAACTGTTTAGGCTGTCGTATGTGATATGAATCAGAGGGACTTGATAAATATTTCTAAGAACACTCTAGATGGCTCACCTTAGTGAATGTGTAATTGCCTGTGAAATTCAGACCGAAACAAGCAAATTTAGAATAAAAAGGAATGCTTAATAATGGTATTTTCACTTTCTTGAGACCTTTCCAAAAATAACAGGTGACAACTTCATTGGAGAGCCACAAGAGGAAAATGGATCTTGGCAGATGGTCAATAATTTGAGGTGAATGTAATGCAACACATGCACAGAAATTGAGAAGCATTTTATTTATTTCCAGGGAAGTCACTCATTTTATAGTGCTTTTTGATTTGGAGTTTACTACAATAGTGGCAAAGTATTAAGAGAATGTTTCCCACTGGGTTAGGAAAAATTATTCAAATATTTGCAATGCCAGTAATATCGGATTGTGACGAACTTTATAGCATAAAATAGTTTTTCTGTGAATAAAGGCTCACATAAGTTTGAAGACGTGACAAAAATGTGGAGATTTGTAAACAGAGCTACATCAATTAAAACTGTGTTATGCTTTCATAAATATTGACCTTCATATTAGTGTCCCGGAATAGACAACCCAGAAACAGTAGTCATGCTATAATAGAATTTTACACACAATATAAGGGAGCATTCCAAATCACTGAATCAGTGTCCAACAAATTTCAGAATACACAAATAAATACTTATAAAAACAAGAGCTTTCCTACATGACAAAATTTCCTAGAAAACCAATTATCTGCAACTGGCAAATAATAATAATTTTGGCTCTGCTTTTCCAATAGCGAAACCTCTTATTCTGTTCACTGCATTGACTATAATTTTCTGAACAAACTCTCCGTGGTATAATGTCATCCTCTGCTTTGAACAGATGTATAATTATGTGAGTCTCATATTTTACTAGAATTAAATCAAAATGCCTTACATGAATTAAATTGACCTCCACAGCCATCCCATAAAATAGTCACTATCATCATCATCATTGTTGTCATAGTCATCATCATGATGCCTATTTTATATGTAGTGGGGAAATGCTGTGGCGGCCTCTCAGTATACAATCTGACAGGTTATCCCAGAGGTCCTAGAACTGAAAAGCTCATAAGCTACATTAAGATGCTCAAATCAGTTAATTTGTTAAATCAATGTAAAACATACAGTGAGAAGCAAGGGGAAACAGATTGTGTAGATTAAGATACCTAGTGCGGACAGGTGGAAGGACCACGCTACCTGTGGGTTGTTCAAAGTTCCTATGTCCTGACTCTCTCTTTGTTTCATCTGCCTTCCCAGAAGATGGTGTGGTTACAAGTACCAGAGTTGAGGACAGGCAAGAATGTTCACAGATGGAATCATGGTGCCAATACAATGCTTGCTCTATCAGGGAGATGAAGAGGCAAGTATGCATGGCCACAGCTATAGCTTGGTGATGACCTGGTGAGCAGTGGTGTATGTTTCAAAAACGGGACAAAAGAGCTGCAGTGGGTGATACCAATGGTGGCCAATTTGATGTAGATAAAGCTGATTCATGCTTTATAAATATTTAACATTTATTTTGTTTTCCATCTCTCTCTACCTACAAATAACACTCTTGTTTGTTTCATCCTTTTAATCTATGTTTAACACATAAAATGTCTACTTATTCTATGTTTAACACATTATATATGTAAATTATATATTTATTATCTATACTTAACATTTATTATGAGTTTCATTTATCCCACTTTTTTTTTTTGGTCTTTTAAAGCAGAATTGAAAAATTTCAGAGTACAGCCAACATACATTACATTACGGATGAAGGACGTATCTGAGGCACAGGGCCATTAGACCACTTGCCCAAGGTCTCCCCATTTAGTGCATGGCAGAGTCAAGCATTCAAATATAGGAAATTTGGCTCCAGAGACTACTTCTTAATCACCATCCTATATTGATTTCTAATTTGCCTGAGAAAACACAGCTCATAAGTCTGACCTGAAGTTTAATGTTCTTTCCACTAACTACCCTTTATATATAAGTACCCTTGTGGCAAGAAACCTGTCTTCTTCGTGTCTGCATTCTTATCACTAAGCATAGGGCCTACAAATACTTGTTGACCAAGAGAAGATCTCATTTTATTTGATTTTCTTTTAGGTTAAGTTGAAATGGCCTGAATTATTCCAATTTAACATTTAAGAAAATTTAACCTTTAGCCTTTAAAGTTACGTTGTCTTCAGTATTTGATTTTAAACCGAATTAGTCTAAAAAGATATCCAGTTGCTAGAGAGCAAAAGGTAAGGATCTGTGAGCTGAGATCCAGCTCTGATTGTGAAACTGACCCTTTCAAAGGGAATATGTTGTTTTGCTACGCTTCATTTTCTCCAGCAGGAAAATGGCCCTAGCAATTCTTATCTACCCCTTTCACCAGGAACTGTTACAACTACTATTCTTCCTATTACTAGCATAATATTTAAAAATGTGGTTTCTGTATTATGGATTAGAAATTATAAAAAATGTAAAGTCTATAGACATTCATAAATAACATAAACATATTTGCATGATTAAAAATAACAAGCATTTATAAACTTTTAAAGGCACATTTTGCTCACTCTTCTACAATTTTCCTCATCCATTTCACTTTTCTCAAAGAAAAGAAACAACCTTCTGAAAGAAGCTAGGATGAATTATATGCTCCTAAAATATTTTAATGCCTCTTTTGTCTCACATAATACATATATGCGTATATATATATATATATATATATATATATATATATATATTTGCTTGTTTTTTTACAAAAAACAAGATAGATAGATGTATTTCCTACTTACAAAAATCTTGTTTCTCTCTAGGAAATTGGCAATAATCTCAATATATACAAGACCATTTAGAACTCAACACAGTGGTTGCTCAACGCTGGCTGTCCATTAGAATGACCCATTGAAAAATACTGATGCCCCAGCCCTACCTCAAACCATTTAAGTTAGAATCTCTAGGGATGGAATTTGGGCATCTGTATTTTTTAAAGTTCCCCCAGATATTCTACAAAATACTTAACTAATGCTCTTCAAAACCGTCAAGGTCATCTTAAACAAGGAAAGTCTGAGAAACTGTCACAGAGCAGAGGAGGCGAAGGAAACATGATGACTAAATGTAATATGGTATCCAAAGAGAGACCTTGGAATAGAAAAAGGATGTTAGAGAAATTTAACTAAATTAAATTACTGAAATTTAAATAAACTGTGAAGTTAATGATAACCAATGTTGGTTCTTTAGTTGTGACATATGTACCATGGTAATGTAAGATATTAAAAATAGGGGGAACTGGGTGAACTCTGCATGGTTTTTGTAGCTTTTCCATAAATCTAAATCTATTCTAAAATAAAAAGTTTATTAAAATATCTATTTTTGCATACATTATCTTGTTTGGTGAAAATGTCACCAATTTATAATCCAGAATCACTGTGCAGCATCGAATTAATAAACAGTATTTAATTGCCTGTAGTCACAGAGATTACAGTATAGATCCCTAACTCCATACGACCTTAGGTAAGTAATTTCTCATTTCTGAGCTTATCTCAGTTTCTCATTTGTAAAATGAATCCACTGGGCTAAGCCATCTCCAACGCCCCTTTGAATTTGGACATTGAGACTAGGTGAGAAGGACATCGAGAAACAGACTGGAGAGTTTTAGGATTTAGGGCTTTGGGCTCTGAAGGGCAAGATGGTATTGAAAAAGCTGTTCTCATGTTTGTGTTTCTAGAATCAGGAGGTAGTTGATAGGGGTAAAAATACGTGATGAGGAGAAGAGTAGGACAGTGACTCATTGGAGCGTCAACTCCTGGGACTTTTCCGGGACTGACAGTCAGCAGAGCGTTGGGCTGCTAGGCAACCGTGCCTCCAGGGAGGGTGGAGGACCCCAGTCGGAGGTGTCTAAGTCAACGCCTCTTAATTTAGTCACAGTTCGTTCTTCTCGAAATTAATGAAATATGTAGCCTTTAAAAGTACACGTTCTGTGTACCAAGTTTTGGCAGGCCCTAGTTATGGGGAAGCTCATAGCTGCGTTCTGTTCGCGGTGTTTTTTTTTTCCTTTTTCTGTTCTCAGGCGAGATGCGGGCTCCTCTCCGGCTAGGCCCCTGTCGCCGCGCGTTGCCGGGCAGAGCTGGACGCCTCCCGCTCTTCGGTCCCCGCCCTCTCTTGCTCCGGCCTTGGTCCTCTACCGGCCGCCATGGGCTGGGAGATGGAGCCACTGCTCCTGGCCTGGAGCTATTTTAGGCGCAGGAAGTTCCAGCTCTGCGTCGATCTGTGCACGCAGATGCTGGAGAAGTCCCCTTATGACCAGGTACTGGCCGGACCCTATCAGCCCCGTGGACCCTGGCGATGAGGCAGAGGGCTCTGGGGGATCCCCAGGCCCCCGGGTGGGGGCTCCGGAGTGTTAGGCCCAGGGCGAGGTTGACCGTGTGGTCAGCACAGGCACCCGGAGCGAGATCCCTGGAGCTGTGGCCGGCGGGTCTCTGACCCTGCGTACCCGAGTCCCCGCGGGACCCACGAGTGCTGTGCCATGATCGCCCCCTCCTCAAACTTTAGCAGCCTCTTTTAAGTGTTCCTGAAAGTGCCCCTTAAAGGAATACTTAAAGTCCTGACTTTTACTTGAGTGAGGAACTTTGATAATTCGTTTATACTTGCATATGGATGTGTCCTTAAACTTGGCTGCATGTGTGTTGTTCATTTCTGAAACAATTATGTATAAACATAAAGATCTGTAACTTCGTACCCGCTGATGAAATAGCTGCCTTGTTCTTTTGGATCACACGTGTGATCCTTCCACTTGATCTTAATACTGTTATTCAGGAGTGAGGAGCCTTTGATTCTGGACCGAGTGCAACTTGAGGCAAATAATACAAGTTAGAAGAATGAGAATCTAGGAGGGAGAAAGACACATTTATTATTAGGAGGGAGGGATGGGAAAAAATGTCCCCCTAAAAGAAGGAATAATGGCATTGATTAAAAGAGAACTTAAATAAACTACAATAATAGTGTAAGTTCTCGTAACTAAAGTATGATGTTAAATAAAGCGAGTGAAAAGGTCATATACTATGTGTGAGCGATACAAGTCTAGTGGGCAAGTAATTCCTGGAAGAGGCAAAAAAGACAAAACAGCATAGGAGCAGAGGTGTGCCAGTGCTTCTAGAAAATGCAAAATGTACCTCTATACTTCTTGTTTCCCAGGTTTTTTTTGTGGGTGTTGCCTTGGAGATGTTAAAAGGAAAATTGAGGGGAGATACATAAGCAGAGGCAAGAATGTGAACACTGTTACTAGGCTCTGCCTTAACTCCCAGCAAATGGATGGAGGTGAACATTTTAGCCTACAAATAGATAGTACATCTCCCCTAGAATAATCCATGAGTGGGATTGCTAAGCTAGGTTCTGTTTGTGTTAGTTTATGTTAGTTAATGGGACTAGGTTTCTGTAGACAAGCATATTTATTTCCAAGTGTGTTTCTTGGGACAGTAGTACCACAGATGCTGCTCAAAAAAAAAAAATTCCAATATCAAATAGGTTTGGGAATCACAAACTATTGACACGTTACATTTATACAACAAAAATTTATTACATACCTATTGATGTACCAGACATTGTTCCAGGCACAATGGTTTGGGAGAACTTTACATGCTGTTTCCATTTTTCCATTGAGTTAGGGTAGTTTCCATTCTTGTTTCAGAAAACACTAGTCCCAAGAGCTGTTCAGTGAAAGAAAGTTTCCTTACTAAATGCATTTGGGAAATGTATGAGTATATTCTCTTCTTAGAGATTCGATTCATACTAAAGGCTTTAAATTCTGAAGACAAGAAACTTAATTTTGATTAATCCTATAGTTCTTAAGCTTATTTGACCACTGATTTCTTTTTTGGCAGCCAGCAAGGGTCAGCTATCTTTGTTGTTATTATCCCAGGGAAATGTTGTCATGTTGGCAAATGCTGCTATAGGCAAAACCATGGTGTTTTTATTAATGGTTAAGACCCTATAATCTTAATGACATAAAATCATAGTGACATTCAGTATTGCACCTATGAATTCAGATTCAGTTTGTGCTAGGCACTATGATCATGACTTTATATGTGTTCAATTCAATGACCTTTCAGGGAGTGCTTACTACTTGCCAGCCATTAGTTCTAGAAACTGTATGTATTTCTGTGCTTAGAATAACCTTGCAAAGTAGGTAACAAAAATAATAGCCAGTTTTTATTGAGTATTTACTCTGTCAGGCTTGGTTCAGAGGGTTTTATACGTTATTTAATCCTCAGCTGTTTTAGGAAGTTGGTACTATTTCCCCCCATTTTATAGATTGAACATACTGAGGCACAATGTAAAGTAATTTGTCCAGTTACAAAGCTTGTAAACCCATTCCCTTTGTCTGGACTATGCTGTCTTCCGCGTTTTGGTAGCCTAATTTTTCAAAACTATATTTTCTGAACTTTTCCCAGTCTATTTTCCCATCTATTGTGCCTTTTTCAAGATTTTTGCTGAGTGGTAAGGAATTTTGACGTATCTGTGTACTTGGATTAAAGGCTTTGAAAAGTCCCAAAGGAAGGAAATCTGCCCAGTTTTGACTAAGCCAGTGTTCTGAAACTTATTTGACCACTGGTTCCTTTTGAGGGGGACAGAGGTACAAATATATATCTCTCTTGTTATTCTGGGAAATGTCACTTGGAAAAGCAGAGGCAAAGCATCAGTGTTTTTATTAATGGTTAGGAAGGGGCCATAGAGAAGATGGTGGCTCCTTTCCATTTACCTAGGAAGCAAGCATAGGATAAACTAACGAAGTACTTTGTTTAAAATCTCTCAAATTAGCAGCTAAACAAGGTTAGAGATTGGATGTTTTTATTTGGCTTCTTATATAGCTCTCGTTAGGCCTTTCTGGCCCTCTTGGAAGGTTAAGACTTGTCACAAGGCATGTTCGGTGGAATTGTGATTTTGATAATGATAAGGGAAAAAAGACAGGTTCATACTGAGAAATATGGCTCTTTTCATTGGTAAACCATTGGATTAGGTTAAGATCATTAGGTTAACGATTAGGTTAAGATCTTTATGGCACTAGGTCTTGTTAGGTCCTGGCCTATTCCACTGGCCTATTTGTTGTGCATTTGAAATACTTCATAATGTGATATATGCTTAATTTCTAATACCATAGATGTGTTTTAAAATGTTATTTTTTTGTTACTGCTTTATTGTTATGAGCAGGGCTTGATATGCTCAGCTCCTACAAATATATCAGAGTAGGCCTAGGAGAACCAGTATCAGCTCTAGGAGAAATTGATCTTATTCTTTTCCTTTCTAATCCTTATTTGTTTTGCTAAGGTAGTTTATCTAAGCGGAAACTATGTATTTATTGCCAGAACAGTGAGTAGCATTCCACCAGGAATAGAAGTTCAACTTGATGTTACCTCACCAAACCCAGCTTTTGATACTTGGAGAGGGGCTGCTGAAAAGTTTACAAGGTTCACTCACGTTTGTTACTCTTTGAGCCAAGATGGATTTTTTTCTTTTGTGCCAGCGTCCCCTCTATTTATGAAAAGCATCCTCGTTGCCTGATGACCTTTGTCTCTCCCAGCTCCCACCCCTCATCCTTAATTCTCAGTACCATAGGTTCTTAAATGTACATTTATCTTTTTAAATAAATGTAATTTAATTATGGACATTCTTAATTCATTTCTTGTTTTGAGGGTCAGTTTTTTTTTAAATCAGTTCAGAAAATTCTTTTTGGATTCCTTCAGGAGGTTGTTTCTAAGAGTAATGATCATCATTGGTATCTTATGGAGTTCTCATTGTTTCAGTGAGGAAGTAAATAATGAAGAGACTAAAACTTCATGGAAAGTTAACAAATATGATGAGACTAAAAACAGATGGTCTTCAGCCCCGCATTAGCTGGTTTATCTTCATGTGCTCCTTTAGCCTCCTGATTTTTTTTTTTGAGTCTTCTATATTTTAAAGTAAGGGACTTTTTCTCTATAAGCTATTTGAATTACCATTCTTGTGCCAGCAAACTGATTTTAGTACAAATGAGTGACTTTGAAGCAGTGCCTGGACACTCTGAAGAGCAAGGAAATTAAAGTATTTCTTCTGAGTGCCAAATGGATTCATCTTTGCTCTTCCTTTTTTCCAAAACAAAGTAGCTTTTGTTTTGATGTTATTTTTCACTTTTGGTTTTGCTGATTTTTCTCCCAGATGAGGAGAACCTCTCTAAAGTGATTTGTTATTTCTTAATCTTTTTATAAGTGGGTCCAGGGACCTTCAAAAAGATAACATTTCGGTCTTGATACATCAGCCTTTTGGAATAAAGCCCACCTCTAAGACTATTTCTTCTACATTTATTTCTCCTTTAAGAGATAACATTTTGGTATACTATCATCAAAAATATTTAATTAGGCCTGGTGCTTTCTACTAGGACATCTGGATTTTATTTCATTTTGATTCTTGCCAAAATCAGGATAATCATTTGGCCAGAGAGGTATGCTACACTATGGAATAGCAAGTTTCCTTAGAGCGATACATTTTTATTTGGCTACAAAAGGACTGAAGGGCATGTTGACTATAATGATGTTTGGTAATAGGGAAGGGTTCTTGAAGAACAAATTCTGAACTGCTTTTCCCAGATGCAGAATGGTGAGAAACAGAGAGCAGGGTCTGCAAGCACGAAGTACATTAAGGTTCTGATCACTTAAGAATAAAAGGATAACTGGTTAATTTATCATAGTTTCCCTGTTTGATAAAATACACTAAGAACAAGTAATTCATAGAGAATTACTTGAGAATTGTCTTTTTTTCAAAGTGCTCTTTAAATGGTGACTGAAAAAGAGGTTAAAAGTTACAAGATGTAAATGGGAGACAGGCAGAATGGTCTTCCACATAGCAATCTGGCCTAGAGGGAAGGCTTGCTTTTACAGCTCATGTTGGTAATCCTGATTAGTTGCTTAATCTGATTACTTTTCTTTGTGTTCCATATGTCAGGTTCATGGCTTTAAACCCAGTTCTGCTTTTTTTGTTTTAGCGCCATTATAATTAAATAGTTCATAAAACATGGAGGATTTTCATGAAGTGTCTAAAGACATTATGTTTTTATTAAGGGGGTGCATTTTTGATAGATTTTCAAATTATTAAAATTAGTGATTCTGGAAGTAAGAGTGTTAACCATATATTAGATTGGAGATAATTTGCATTCTCTTCCACCCCCAATCTCTGCTTATAATGAGACATATTACAGAGAGGAGGGGGCTATTATTGCAAATGGTTTGAAGGTGGAGGAAAGGCTGAAAGCTGCTGGCATAGATAAAAGATAGGGTACCAGGACTCCCCAGTGAGCTAGTAGTTGGTTGAGACAATGATCTAGTGATCCAAGCCAAAAAACATCTTTCTGTATGATTATCTACTTTATTTCCTCATTGGGGCCATGGAGATTTAGCTAGACTTAATCTTTTGGTTCTACACTCTGTGGAACAGCTCATTTTATGAATTTGTATTCCTACTGAATTATACAGATGACATTCCCACTTGGCTACTTGGTCACTAGATCTTCCAAACCTTCTAAAATCCCTCCAATTACTGTTCTGGTCTCTTACATCTTTTTTCTTCCTGTTATTACTCAATTCTGAATAATGACTCAGTAGTTTAAGAGCAAAGCCGGGTAGAGTCATTAGCCAGAGTGAGTACTGGTGGCAATTAGGAAGTCACATTCAGAACTATCTGGAGATTTAATTCCCTGAAGTAATAGCAACAGCCTAAGAGAAAGCCTTGCCTTAGCGGGGAGGGAAGGAAGGAAGCAAAGTGATGTGAATTGAAGTTGATGCTAATGAGTGTTTGCTGGTTCTAGGCAGCGCCACTCTACGCTCGTCCTCTTACTTTGAAGGAGATTCAAAGGGAAGTTTTAATTTCATGTGCCATGACTGGGACTTACTTCTGAGTTCTGAAAAGGGAATTAATAGAGAGTTTAGTGCTTTTCCATTCATTATGTAAATCTATTGATAGAGAAATTCTGTGTGATTGATAACTCCCTGTTGAAGGTGTGATTGATACTCCCTATACTTCACTCACTATGATAGTATATGTGAAAGAACGCTGAAAATTATTAAGTTTTCTTAAAGTGCAAAGTTTTGTTTTTTTCAACTATCTTATAAAGTATTGTAGACACTATTACTCCGATTTAAGAGGATGATTAGGTAATGGAGGTTGTGATTTGTTCAAGGTCATGTAGCTCAGTGCCTCCCTGAGGCTCAAGCCCAGGTCTTCCAACCCTAGGGCCAGGCCTGTTGCTTTTTAGTCCACTGTGTTGATACCCATGGAAATAATTGGCTAGACCAAATGAACCCAACTTGTGGTTCCCTATGTGAGTGGACTAATTGAAATCACAAAACTATAATTGAGAGAGAGAGAGACCCAAAGATATAGGTCTCAGTGATTTTAAAGAAGCTTTGCCTTCCCTCTAAATGAAAACATCCTGACCCTTTTCCATCCTCGTCCCACTGCTCACGATGGGCCTCCAGAACAGCCGTATCTGGCCTTGGTCTCCCCACACCTGACAGTAGTCGCTTGCCAGCCTTGCTATGATCTCACATACTCAGCAAAATACATGCTGTTGACCCAGAGTGTCTAGGTTCAAATACTGCCTGTATACCTGGACCTCAGTGTTTTCTCATCTGTAAAATGGGGATGATAATATACCCACCTCAAAGGGTTAAGTTCATTAATACCTGGTACGTGATCAAAAATGTTAGCTGCTGTTGTCTCTATATAGCTAGAGATATTTGCATGTAGGATTCGTCATTTATGTTTTTCTGAAAGGATTGTTAGCGATCTGGAAAGCGTCTGTGAGGAAAGTGTCCAGTGAAACTGATGATACAATGATGTTGAATATAGTTCATAGATCAGTGGCTCTCAGTAAATTCCCGAATAATCTCTTTCCCTTTTCTGTGACTCCCTTATCTCTCGTGTGGTCTGCTCTTCTCCCCTCCATCTAAGTCATTTATAATTGGTCCATAATTTGAGTATAGCATTTAACATATTGTGTTGTGAGTCACTGAATCAGGTGCTTTCTCCCATAGAATGTTCCCAGAGCCTAACAGAGCCAGGGATGCCCAGAGAATGTTATGGAATTTAATGTGTTCTCCGCCTCGCTCTCATGTAGGCCTTGTCTCCATCTTTCTTTCATCCATATACAACCTCACCTGCCTCTATGTCTTCCCATCCTCTAGGCCCCTCGTTTTCTCCTCAGACCTTCTCATTTCGTGTTATTTCCTACGTGCTGTTTACCAGTATGGTGAATCGTAAGTGTATCCCTGAGGGGCAGTAGATCAACACAGAAGCAGCAGGAAGGCCTTCGTCAGTGAACGGAGCACCCTGAGGCTGAGCTGCTGGCTTCAGGCACTGGACAAGTCTTCCTGCCCTTGGCAGAAGAACAAGCATCCAGCTTTTACTTACCATCAGTGGCTTCTGTCTCCCTTAGTTGTTTTCTTTTCCCTTTCAAGCATTGTCTACAGTCACCTCTGGTAAACTTTTTCCCCTTTCTATATGGAACTTGCTTTATGTCTCTCCTGCACTGTACCTGCCTTATTCTTGGGTTGTTGGAAAAGTCATGACACATTTTTGCAACGAAAAGCAGAAAAAATACGTCATGACTTTTCCGACAACCCAATATTTCCAACCCATTTTTATCTCTAAGATGCACTGGCAAGCAAGAGCTGCGGCTTGTTTGTGTAACCTGGAGCAAATTACATGACATCATTGAATTTGTTTTATTATCTGTAAAGTGGACGATAACACTTACCTGCCTCCCTCAGATGGTTGTTATGAGATTCAATTGAGATAACGAATCATAAAGACATATATACAAATAAATAAAGAATAGAAAGGGTTACTTCTCTCATCTCATTACCTGTATCTGTGTATCTCTCTAAGTATGGATTGTGGGACATTTGCACTTTTCTAGATCTTTCTTATGCACACTGCAGTTGAAAACCTCCAATTGCTATGTATTCTTAGTTGCCGTTTTGTGTTTGGTTCAACTGATTGACAGCTTTTCTCTAAAGTCCATGCTCTAGGGCCCTCCCTTTCTAGCCTAGCTTAGCTTTTTTCTGTCATGTTTCCACCATGTGCCATACCAAAGAAATTGCTTATCTTTGCATGGTCACCAGATGGTTTACACATTGCTTGCACACATAATATATTCTTTTTTTTTTTTTTTTAGTTTCAGGTGTACAAAACAGTGCAATAGTTATACTTTTTACCCCTCACAAAGTGACAACCCACCTCCCCCAATTTACTGCCCCACTCCCATCCCCCGGCATCATACATATCTATTACAATTCCATAATATATTCTTAAAAAAATTTTTAGGGTATTTTTGGATTTTAGAGCCATGGGAAACAAGGAAAGCTTTCCGTTTTCTGTTTCTTAGTAGCTTCCCCAATAAAACATGCTGCTTATTAAGTGTTCAACAGAGTCTGCTGACTTTAGACATGTAAATGTGGATGTTTTATAAATAAATTTGCTTTAAGTCTGATTTTTTTACCAGTGCATTTCTATTTAATTTGGACAGAATAAATCTGAGTTTATCAGCATCTGGCACTAATATATATTACATAGTCTATAAAAATTTCTCAGAGAACATTATATCAGAATTAATTTTTTATCTTCATCCAAAAATCCCATTATAGGCGTGTGAAATACAAGGGTTTATAGGATGTGGATTATTCCTTTTCCTCCCCAAGTATTAAAATCTGAATGTTTAAACCACATGAACTTATTTTGAATGTAAAGAAGTGTTTTCTTGGTATAGTTGTCAAATTATTTTTAATTTTTGGGATGTTGTGTCTTCATTAAACAAGCAGTTAATGTATTTTCTCTGTGCTGTAAATGAGGTTTGAGTAATTAGAACTTTCTGATCATAGAAAATTTAGTACTGTTCAGAGTATATTGGTTTTGCAGCCCTGCTGAAAGCCCTTGAGGAGAAAGATTAAAATTAATATTTGGATTTTCATTGAGTGAGTTTGAGTCCACCAACAAATACTTGGTTAGTTATTTAGACTTTTTATCTTAGAAACTGTATTTCTTAAAAATGTTTACTACCTTCTTTATGCTTTCCAGGAACCAGATCCTGAATTGCCAATATCTCAGGTAAAGGTTTAGCTGCAACCTTAGTTTAGAGACTAACATTAGTTACTGTTGCTTAGTTGTTGCTATAGATTCAAAAATTTGCTGTATATCTACATGTGATGTTTTAAAATTAGCCATATCTACCAGGCATTCTGTACCTTCTTATGTAAACTATTATATTTCCAATACTTTTGTGTCTGTGGGTGGGTAGCCTTGTAGAACTAATTCAGTGTACTCATTAAGACTTGGAGCTTAAATAGAAATAACCAATATTGGCCAGAAGGATGAGAAAAATAAAGGAAGCAAAGGGAACCACAGACTTAGAAAGGGTGCCCAGAAGTCAGCAGAGTCACAGGTGTCTGAAAAGACGGTGATAGACAGGACATTATGTCTTGAGTGAAGAGTAGGCCGACCCTGCTTCAGAGGGTCTTAGCAGCGGTTCTCAACCTGTGGGTCGCAACCCCTTTGGGGGTCGAACGACCCTTTCACAGGGGTCGCCTAAGACCATCGGAAAACAAACACA